TATATATATATATATATATTTTAGTTATATTTTCATTTTTAAAAATCCAATAACAATTCCACAACTGTTTTCAATAGCCGTCGATTATCGTTTTCAGGCAAACGTGAATCAAGAAAAGAAATATAGTAGTGCTATAAGATCCTACTCAACAATGACCTTTGATATACCGATTTCAACTGTTCACCGGACACCTCCTTGTCTCGACACCTGTCGTCGAGCGAAGCAGCTGGGTGCAAACCGAACATCTACAGGTGTGTTACCGAACTTCACTACAAAGTAGCCGGCTTGCGTTTTCCTCCGTTTCCCGCGCGTTTATATTTAGCACGGCCAGCAGTTTACAACATGCGTGGAATTTTTCGTCCTGGGGAACTGGTTTCTTTCCTCGAGTCTAACAGGCGTTACGCATTCAATCAACTCGAGTCTTTAATTTCCAGTCAGGTGGTATACTTTGGGTAAAATTCAGAATAGATGTGTAACAAGTGTGTGTGTGACTTGGAATATATTCCTTGCCTTTGATTGGTCATACCCATCATATAATGTATAGTGACCTGACTAGTGTACACGTGCGAGAAACACTGTAATTTAGTACAACAGTGTTCGAAGTAGAAATGAAAGGTTTAAGATCAGGTTTGAAATTCAGGAAAGATGGAAGATGGATAATTATTATTTATTAGACCGGTATTGTAGTTTCTTTCCTACTTAACTTTTTCAAGCATAAGTTGTTATAGAAAAAAGTTCCAAGGTTGCAAGAAGATTGAAAGCATATTTGGAAGTATAATTTATTAAAATAATCTCCAACACTCGGAGGAGAAGTTACTAACTAAACAAACTGATAGCGACGTAACACAAAACTCTGTATTCCCAATTGTTGTTTAATTCTTCAAAGTGGATTGAAAGATATCACGTATCATATATCAGGCTATTGGAAAGAACAGAGATTGTTTAATCCGCAAATTGCCAAGATAAAATGCCTCAAAGAGATTAATCTGATGCTTAGGAAATTTGAGAAATTGTTCATTCAAAGTTCTATAGATATTAGAGGTTCATTACGATGACGAAGAATTGTTCTTGTCCTAAGTAGATCTGAGATAATGATCGACTATTACAGGAGAGAGCAGAATCTTTCTAAAGAATTATAGCAGCCCTCGTGTACAGGAAACGCGCGATCTACAAACTAT